GACAGAAGGCAAGAATCAGGATCTCTCTCAGCACTTGCTTGCCTTGTGCTATTAGACTACATGGAGAATGTTGAAAGATTTCAGCACAATAGAGCAATATTCTGTAAAATGAAAAAATACAAATAGCCATTTCACCATTAACAAAATCAGATCTGATCCATTTTGTAGTTTGAAGTGAAACTCTAGTGACAACAAACTTTTCAAGGGAATAAATCGTCAAAAGAAAAAGTGAGATACAATAGATATTCACTATTATATCACAATGTAGCAAGCTGAGTAAAGTCTTTAGAACTTTAGCATACTTCCTCAGTCCTAATGCCTTGCTGTTGCTGGAGAAGAAAATGCAGTTCAGACTTTTCCACATCCTCTGGAAAGGAGACAAATAACCCCAACGTTAGGATACTCCAGGACAACAGTTCTTTATGCAGTTCCCTCACTTCCAGACAAAAAAAGAGAAGAAGACATTTCTCTAAATCACTGAGATGACAAATAACTAGTTGAACCTTTCTCAAACTCTTGCTTACCCTGAAATTATCTTACTTATTTTTCAGAGATGGAAATGTTCCGACTGCAGTGACCCCAACACACTGACTGAAAAGAGTGACAACACAAATTTCCATAATATAAAAACAATGCGAGTGGCTGAGTGACAAAAAGAGCATAAATGGGTACAAGATAAAATAAATTAACTGACTGGAACAAAGTAAAAACTAATCAAAATCACTATCCTGCCAGTGAGCAAATGTACATCAAATCAAGAGAGTTCAGAAGCACATAGATGAAACTTTGTTGTAGGAAAATTAGGAAAGGCAAAAAGTGCTAGTTCACAATCATTCAAAATGATTTGTTTTTGCATGTCTTTTCTACTTTTAGCTCTGACAGAAATATATATGACAAAGATGAACTCAACATGCCAGTTCCTCGTTGTAAAAAGTATCGCATCAGGACGAGACAATAAGAATGTTCTGTAGCTTAACCTTTTTGAACATGGAAACCACCAACATTGTTCTTGCAGAAAAATTACAAGCCAGGTTGGTATCCTGAATACACAATGCTAAATAGAAAAGAGCATTAGTTTTCAACAACCAAGTTTGAGTTTTATCCCTTGCTGTTTGCAGAGTTGACTAATCCCAATATTTTGTAGAAAGTTAATGTAATTGTATTTGTTAATGCTTTATGCCCTTATCAACACAAATTAAAACACATAGATGGTATTTACTCGGTCTGTCAGGGCCAACCTAGGCTGAGCGGGATACTGCAGTCTTGCACACAGACGGATATACTCACTAAAAAATTCCCTCACTCCAATCTTGAATTCATATTCTCTGCATGCGACAGAAGACAGCCTAATAATTACCACACTTAACACAGAATCTAGTTTAAATGAGCAGAATTGGGAAAATGTACACTACAAAGAATAAAAAAGAGGAGACGATGCCAAAGCCCTCATCACATACCCCATGCCACAAGCTGATCCCAGCCTTCAACCAAACAGCTTCAACAACACATGACTAGCACATGAGAAACAAATCAGGGCATAAATAAATAAGAGAGTTTCTGCACAACCACTGTAAATTCACGACAGCCCAGCCACTGTGCTTATTTCACAGGAGATTGCATCCTGTAACAAATGATAGCAGTAAGTTTTAACTTTGGGGTCTTTCAGATAGCAAAAGAGAAAGGTGATTATACAAAACATAATTACCAATGAGCACTTTATGCGCGGTCTTATAATACCCTAAAGTACTTTTGTTTTTTAATCTGGTTTAGTAAACAAAACAGCAAGCATCGATGTGGAATTAGGCTTAGAGGTTACAGCTCAGTGAAACTCTCATGCCCTCTCTAAAAATGGAAGATAAAACAGGAATCACAGAGCAGCTAGGTTAGCTTAGCTTAGCCCACTTTATCTGTTAAACAAGAGCAGAAACAGGGCTAACTAGTGCTCTTATTCATTTTTCCTCAAAGCAACTCTGGTACCCTATAATGACAGTCCTTAAAGACTTTCTCTCATCCTTCATGGGTTCAAAATAGATCAACTCTAAAAGAAAATTAGTTATAAACTGAAAGTTCAAAATGCAGTGACACATATTTGTACACAGAATCTGAACAAGTATTCCACTACAACAAAAACATGAACTTAGCAGTGTTTCAAAATGAACTGCCACCAAAGAAAATTAAAATCTAAAAATATTCAAGAAAGGCCCTCTAGTCTACACTGTACAGAATGCTGAATAAAATACTCCCACACACTTGTGGCAAATGCCAACTTGGCACATTTACCGCCTTCACAATAGTGGGAATTCTTCTTTGGCAAGGAAGAATATTCATATTCTTAAAATATTTCTTCCCTAATTAATCAAGGGGGCAAAAGCTTTCTACAGTGGAACCAAAAAGCGTTCTGTTTTCTGACAATTAATTTGTTCGACTGATGGGGCTGTGGCCTAAAATTGCATGTTTTTTGCAGTATGTATTTCTGCCAATATGCATGTGCACTACGCCAGGTATTTTTTTGTCTGAAAGTTTACCAAAACAATAGTATTACAAGTCTATCTCTCTAACACACAAAAAAAAAAAAACCCCTTTGAGAAAAATCTTGACAGGTAGAGATAACAACTCCAGGAAATAAATACAATAAGTAATTGAAATGAATCAAAACAAACAAAAACTTTCGAAGTAATGAAGTCACAGTCCTATCCATATCTACTATCTTGCCTTTCGACATACCTATCTCCCTTTAGCCAAACCTACCTACCCATCCATTTTTATTTGTTTGGCTACACATTTACTCTTTGTCTTTCAGTTTGTTGATCTATGTTTCTATCTATCTGGGTAACCCTAACTACCTGAGGTCCTTCCTACTAGCCCTCTACATCTGACTGGCCCTGTAGTAGTAGCACAGGCTAACATAACCAAACCACAGACTATGCCCACATTTTGCAAATTTTCAGCGACAAATATGTCAAGGGACGGGGCAGAGGATTGTCTGCCTCATGACTGGCTGCAGCAGAGGAAAAGTTATGAATATAACAAATATAAACAAAATATCTTTGATAACTGCCGAATGCATAATTTACGAGATTTAATCCCTGCTTGCTTGTCTCCAAATCAGTGCAAAATTATTAAGCTCTAATTAAAACAAATTGAAACTTATGCTAAAATTAAAACTCTGTGCACTTTTTATGTTTCAACAAAGACCGTCAACTCGTGGGGGGGGGGGGGGGGGGGAACGGAAAGTCACACTCTCAATCATTAAGATTAACCATTTCCATGGTGCCAGCTGCAAAGAGAATTTGCAACATTCACTTTATACGTTCCACAACAGAAAAGAGTAACTCAACACAGAAAAATTCAAAAAAGGTAATTCAACTTATCAACAGGGCGGACCCCAGAATACAATGGTTTGCTCACATCAAAACTTGCAACAAGCAAGTCAATAAAATATACATAATTATAAAAACCAACCAAAGCAAATCAGTTATTATATAAGTCATAGTGCAAATTACCCATTTTAATGCAGTCATTCAAGAAAAAAAAAATATATAAAAAATTTTGGCCAATATACCAAATACATCACAGAACCAAGTCATGATGCAAACTTTATTGATCTTGTAATTTATTTCCAAATTAAACACACAAAAATGATCATGTGGCTTGAGGGAAAACTTGTAGACAGCATTACCCACTTTCTGTGAAAATATGATAAATTACTAGTTCATCACAAGCATGGTACCAATAGTTATTGTCTTTTACAAGTATCAAAATAGGGTTTGAGAACACTATGAAGTGAGGCAAAAACAAAAGGGAAACAAAAAGAAAACACTGTCTGGAACAATTACTTTCAATGATGTGGAGAATCAGCAGATGTATAAAAAAGCATGCATCAAAAGTTCCCAAAAGTATGTGCTGATAAAAAAATGGCTCGACAAAACACCACAAAGTTCCTAAAACAATGTAGAGAATTTTTAAAACACACACTCATTAGAAGTTAATGTACTAACATTGTTTTTACTTGATGGACATGAGCACAATCTGACAAAACAAAACCTCTGTAACATATGTCTAATCACTTTTGCAAAAACAAGTTTCCAATGTACCAACTTATTTCAAGACAAATCAAAACTTGAACCATTTTTAAGTTTCATCTCAAAGTCATAGATCCTCAACAAATTCTACTCAAGACACCATGGAACAATAAACAATTTTTTCGGAATTGTGTAATATAATTAGCAGTCAAACAATATATATGACAATGTTCATCAAAATTCTATTGGTAATAAAGACAGAATTTCTGTTATCAGCTTTAGCACTACGAACTGATTTTATGTAAAAGACATGTCTACACCAAACTTAAAAATGTAAGTTAAACCCAAGACCTTCATGAATCTTATATGACAAGCACCACTGTAAAACCAACTAAACACTAAATTAAAAAAAAAAAAATTAACTTTGCTCCCAGTCTGCAAATCCTTACTTCAGGTGGTGCCAGATGAATTATTTTTGTTTTGTGATAAAACTCACCTGAATCCAGAGACAGATTACCTAGAGTATTCTGACCAGCATGGGCAGATACTGAGCAGTTTCTCAAGAAGCAAGGACAGTAGGGCAGAGAGGTTATGACCAATGAGGAAGACTGGAAAGAGTGAGCCCGTTCTTTTCAGGGAAGCTAAAATAACAGTAGCATCGTCACCTCAAAGATGCAAATGAGATTTGATAAGCTCGTTCAATCCTATTACTAGCACCTGCATTTGTCACGGCCGAGATTTTTGGCATTTTTTGGTCTTGCATTTTTCAACACAAAAAAGCTACTTCATAAAATGTGTCTTGATAATTTTAAGGTGTCCATGTTTAGTTATTTTCATGTGAAGAATGTCGGTACATTACATACTATATATTTATAATACTGTTTGTCTTTCATTTTTCCCTCTTTGTTGTGTTTTAATTTGTTGATGTGTTAATTTTTTTTTGGGGGGGTTAACGTTCCAATGTGTTGTTTTTCTAAATTTTTTTGTGTTTATATAGCGTAGTGTCAGTTAATTTGATGTTGTTCCTACATTTTTTTAAAGAATATATAAATGTGTTATTTTAGAGAGGGTCTCCACCAAAACTGAATACTGACACTGGCAGGCCTCTTGCGTGTGATTCTATAAATTACAAGTAATATCCTGTACTTTTTCTTAATTTACACACTTTTAGGGTTAAAACGGCCAATCGTCGGACAGGTGGACACATGACCTTATTTGTTAATTTTTGTGGTTGTTCATGTGCTGTTCTAATTTTGATTTCATTCAGTTGTGAAACCTTCATTTTTCCCATTTTTACACTATGTGTGGGAACAAATGATTTTCTGGATGCTTAAAACAGAGCACCAGAAATTCTGGTGCTGTAGTTCAAGTTACCTCCATCAACATATTGCTATATATACGTCGTCACAGAGAGTTGAAAGCTTGAAAACTAATGGCAACTTTTGCCAGTTTTTGTCGCAACTTTTGGACAAAAAATGGCAACAAACGCAGATGCTAGCTATTACTTCGATACACCTATTTTTAGAGGTAATGACTAAATGTCAGTACTCCAGACTATTATAAATGTCACTCTATCACCTTTTAAGTATTAGTGTGATGAGAATATTTATGGAAAAAAAAACCCAAAAAAGTTTCATGCTGTCGTCATTGAGCAGTATCAAAGAAAGCCTTTTCAGAATCATAATTAGACCCACAAGTAAAATAAACTTGGCAAAAGCTTCATCATCACCATTGCCTTTCTCACCCTGGATCAGGATTTAGGCCATCAACAAACACTTTCTCCCTTTCCCTATCCTGAGCTAGCTGCTTGATGTTATTTCATGTCTTCCCACTTATCTGTAAACCAATTTCTCTCTTATCCAGGTTCCATGTGGTCTTTCCCTTGATCTTTTCCTCTATTTCACTTTTAACACCCCATATGTTTTACTTTGGGCTTTGTTAAACCCCCCAAAAACCCCAAAACAAAAGTAATGTAAACATGTGAGTGTCTTCTCAGATTCTATACTACAGTAATGAAAAGGGTATTTTTTGTAAACCTAGAGGAGAGTTATAAGCTAGAAACATCAAGTTCTGCACATTGCATGTTGTACGGTCACCAAACATCATTTTTGAAATAGAATGTATTAAAGCACAATCATTGTGAAGACAACCTTTGGTACCTACACAGAATATTTTATGAGACAATCAATGTGAAAAGCAAGTTGAAACTATCAAGCTGTTTTTGTAATCACCCTATACCTGGTGTGGAAATACTGCCCATAAATCTCTCTATCACAATTGATAGCCAAAACTGCACAATACAAATCACAAAGCAAAAATTGTAAGAACGTACAGAGTTTGTTGAAGATTCTGCTCTAAAAAACAACAACGAAAAAATGAAAAAAAACCCAAAGAACCCCCCACCCCCCAAAGAAACATACAGATATTTAAAGTATTCTACTAATACATGTTTCTAGTTTTTCATACCCGCAAAACTGTCTCCATATTCTATTAGCCATGACACTTTGCGTGCTTGAGAACTATCTTGCCCAGATCTTTGAAAAACTTAATATTACACACAAAAAGCAGCTGTTCTGAGATAAGAGGCACACTAACAAAAGAACTTGATATGGTAACTTTGAACTTTGAGGAAGCTCAATAACTAAAATATATACTGCAAAGGAGAAAATCAACCCCACAAAAAAGCATTGACACACCAAATAAATCTTTAAAACTCAAGACAAACCAAAATACTATCATTCACATTTTTATCCAACTGAAATCTTCATAAGGTTCATTCCTAAACAAGCAACCTGAGTGGGTCAAAGGCAAGAGAAAACTTATGATATAGACTTTAAAAAAGCACATGGTGCTTATAAATATGGACTTCCGACATGTACCGTTGCTTATGACCAAAAAAAAAACAACAACCCCAAATTTAAAAAAAAAAAACCCATTAAGAAAACCTATCTTATAAAAAGCAAAATCTGACATACTAGCTCAGACAACTCTTGATTGGACACTTGCTGCATAAATGAATAAATCATCAAACGCACTGACACTCCTCTGACCGACACCTACATAGGAACAAACAATAAGAAGAGCTCAGGAGCTGTGCCCAGGTCAAAAGCATCGGATGAGAGCTGGCCACTTTTTGCAGCCTCAGGTACAGCACACAATACTACCCTTGAAACACACGGCGCAGAAAGTGAGTTTCCGGCTGATGCTCAGCAGAACACCTGGGGCCAGCTGTGCTCCCTTTCTCTGTGGAATTTAATCCTCTTGGTACTCCCACTGATCCTTCTCATAGCCCTCATGGACGTGATCCAGAAGTACATTCCTCCGACTCTCACAGTACCTACAAATGGAAAAGTTTTAGTTTTCAGTAGAATTTTTCGGCACTTACAACACGAATATGTCATGTAAGAGCGGAAGATAAGAGGTGCTACTTGAGAGTTACAAGAAAAAGAAAAGAAACAGGAGAGAAAACAGAAAATAATAGATGTTTGATACGAAAGAAGAAGCAAACCACACAAGAGCACCCGCCAACACATAGGGAATAGGAAGACATGAAAAAATAGAAAAAGTGGTAAAAATGGTAACCTGACAACATTGTTATATATATCTGAAAGACATCGCGAAAGTCTCTTATTTGATTATGTATTTTTATATCTTTCACAAACTTTTTGTCCCTCCTTTTTCTTGTAAAATAAGTCTAGGAAGAGCAAAAAACAAAATCCCAGAAAAGTCAAGTCACGATCAGACAAACTTTTCTTTCTTAAATATTCTACAGCTTTCAGATCTAATGAAAAGGAAAACAATTCATATCACTCTGAAACTTTACAAAAGGTGTAATTTCTACTCACAAAAATTCATATATCAATCTGAAACTTGACAAAAGGTGTAATTTCTACTCAGAAAAATTTAATCACCTAAATTATTAATCAGACCACCAAAACCTGGATAAAAAATTACTATGAATGTTTTTGTAGCCCTAGTCCCAGTCTTTGGGCCTACTAAATACAATTTAGTACTGTATTCCCTTTTTTTCTGTTTTCATTACAGAAGCCTCAGCATCGATACCAGAACACGATAGCACAACTATAAAAAAAACCTTGTTTATATGCAAGTTACAAATGAGACATGAAATGATTCAAAGCAAAAATCATCAAGACTTGCCCATCATAACCATTTAACTAAAACTATAAAGTCCCTTATAGCTTCCTTCTTCCTTCCTTCCTCTGGCTGGCCTCCGTTAGGCGGCAGGCAGACAGGAAAGAGGCAACCTCTTGTGGCCTTGTCCAGAAAACATCTGGGCCCGGTCTCGTGTTGTTCTTCCCTTATAGGTCATAATTACTAGTCACACTATATACTCTGTTTCCTGATAAGTGTGAAATCCCTTCAATTTTTCTAGACTAATAACAAGATAACAGGAAACATTAACAACCAAGAAAATCCAGTAAACATTAATTTTGTAAAGAGGGGGGCGCATTTTTAACAAAGTAAATTATAAATTTAAAAACTATATCATACAAGCTGGCAACATCTTAAAAGAAGATTATTCAGTTGCACGCGGTGTATTTGCTATATGTGTCACAGAGCGGTGGAATCAGGCGCTCGTCAATTTTTGGATATGTGGAGACATTGGTATCATCTTTTTTCATTTGTCTTCCCTTCGATGAAAAAAATATCCATCTATCGTGAATACAAATTGAGATATTTATGATTGAAAGAGGTAGAGGTCGCCAGGTCTCAGAGGTAAAATTAGTGAAAACTGGCCGCCAAAGTATAGATATTTCCTTAGCTTGAATGTCCGTGGAAATAAAAAATTAACACTTTTTATGTCTTTAATTTATGTTTTTCAGTACAATCCACACAGAAATGTCTTCTTAAATGGACATGGAAGGTGTTGAGCCAAAAAACCAAAATTTGATCAATATTGCCAAACCTGTGGAAAAATGCCAGTCTCTTTACTTTCATTATTTTGACGAGCGCCTAACTTCACCACGCTGCCTCACATTATATGCTATGACCACTAAACCATATTAAAAAAATAACTCTTTCAAACCCACTAAAAGAAGTTTTTCACTCCAGTCAACTGTATTTACTCACCTGTATTTGTCTTGAACCTTCTGCTTTATGTCATGAAGCACCTCAGAAGAAATCTCCCTCTCAAGATATTCAGACAACTGCTCAGTGGCATTCTCAAGGTCTTTTTGGTTTTCCTAGAAGTGGAAGAGTATAAAAGGTGTCACTATAGAAAACAAAATTAATATAAAATCCCCTCCTTACTGAAATTTGACAACAAACAAAGTTGCAAATTGAAAAATTCCATTCACACAAAAACTTAACTTGAAATTTAATATCTATGATGTCAGTGTGTTTTTTTTTTTAAACTGACCATTACCAAATAACTGACATCAATGTGCAACCAATGCCAACATAAATCACAACTGAATCAGAATTATATAAATCAAAAGACGGTGATAAGGTAAAAAGGACTAATTCTCCTTTACAAAATTTAAAACACTCCAGACTTTGCACTCATTCAGAACTTCCACTTATTCTCTTTTCTCATGAAACTATGTATAGTAATGCTGCCAGAGCACTGTGGAAAGCACACTGAAAGGTCATCATAAAAAAATTAACCCCTAATGTCAAAAGATCCTCTGCTAAAAATTTAACTTCCAACTTTTCCTCATAGAGCCTACAAGAACATCATTACTTCAATTTACACGTTGAGGAATCTGTACACTTTACATTTTTACCTGAATGATCCCTTGTCACTTGGTAAGTAAAATAACACATCTATAACAACTACACGATCTTAAGAACACCATATTGTAAGCAGGAGATATCCCCATTAAATATTTCATGACTGTACAGATACTACATAAGTGAGCGGCCATGGATAGGCCTGTTCGGGACGTCTGAGGCAAATTTTTCAACAAAATTCAATGCACATTTGCTTTTGACATCAGGAGCTCCCTTATAAAAACTATTTCTAGCAGATATAGAAGTATACATGACATATATAAAAGTGGGTAAAAAATGATCCACCCACCTCAAAGATGATGGATTGGTTGTTCTTCTTCAGATAAAAGGCAAATACGTAAGTGTACATAAGGGTCTGCCTGCATAGACACAAAACATCCACCGCCTTCTTCAAAAACTGAACCTCGATCCATGACATGTTGTGATGCTGCATCTCCTCCATCTTTGATTTGATAGACTGATAGAGCTAAAAAAACCAGAACAAACAGAAAGCAAAATTAAGGTCAAGTTCATTTTTAAAAGTAATTCACATTTCTGAAGAACACATAAATAGTAAAAACATAGACATTAGGAATCTTTTCCAATTCACTTTTAATCTTTAAAATAAACAATTTTACATCTACTTGTATGAATCCAACTCATTCTCAAAGTATCGAAGTATGCATTTGAAATAGTGAACAATTTGTCATCAAACGAAAAAAATTAATTAATTTTTTAAAAAATCAATTCCAAAGAAAGCTGCACTGAGGTTAGAATCCTAAATTTCAGTTTGCTGGCCAAGTTTCTTAATCCCTTCCTTCCTAGATCAACCAGAGTCAACCATTAGGTGAACACTCCTGAATGCCAAGATTAATCATTGGCGCCACACAGGTTCACGCTCATGACTGGCCATAACTGTATATGAATGAATTATCGTCAGACTAACATTATCAAAGTAACTTTGAATTTTCCCAAAATCTTCTCTGTTGACATCCACTCCTTGGCCCTCATATGACCTTATGCAGTTACAAGCGCCGTAAAACCTTACTAAAACTTTAAAACACTATATAGCAATGACCACGAAAAACCTTTTTTTAGTCAAAAAGTGCTTGTAAATAAGTGCATTTTGTAGCTGTACCTTCACAGAGCATGGAACTTTTTGAATTTTTGAAATCCATCAATAAACAAAAAAGTTACGAATTTTTTATTTTTAATCCATTAATTTTTGGTACACTTTTATATTATGAAAAAAAACCAAAATATGGTATGTTCTTTGGTAAGTTTTGAGACAATATTCGTCATAACTCGCCCATTTCTCGGAGTATTTAAAAGAAACTTGGCAACCCAGTACATTTTCTAGTGCAGAATCTAGTCCTGCTTTCAGATTTTTCATAGCTATCCTACTTTTTGAGTTCTGAAGACGTTTATAGGTAAAAGTGTGGCGGTTTTCGGTGCGTTTTGAGACAAAATTTGTCATAGCTCGCCTATTTCTTGGAGTATGTAAATGAAACTTTGCTGTCTAGTACAGTTTTTAATGCAGAATCTAGTCATACTGTCAGATTTTTAATATCTGTCATACTTTTTGAGTTACAAAGACATTAACAGGTAAAAAAGTGGCGTTCCCTACAGATTTACAAAAGATTATCAGTCATATCTTCTCTCAAAATCATGATATTTGAATGAAACTTGGCAACATAAAAGGTTCCTCCTTGCCAAGCGATGCTCTGGATCAATTTGTCACAAAAATGTAAGTAGAGAGCTGGATTTATTAGTCTAATAAATCCAGTTCTCTACTAGTAAAAACATGTATACTTTGTAATCAGTGCTTCCACCAGCTGAAGCTGAAAAGTAAGGAAAATTCTGCAGGGGTCTGGGGGCTAAATTGAAATTTAGTGCTTTTAGAGGGTTGAAAATGGCATTTGGGAGCCTGTTTGAAGAGATTGCCTAGACTAGAGCCCATAACATTTATTTTTTCACCAACATTTTGTCTTGTTTGATTTCTTCACCAACATATCTTTCCATTGCTAGCAATGTTTAAAAGCAGGTTCCCCTTTCATTGCTACTATAACTATAATTCAATTAATTAATTTGACGTCGCACCATTGATAGCAGGCAAACCTGGGAATAATGAATAGATGTATACCTTCACAATACAGTTGCGCAGCGTGTACCCAAATTTTTTCTCAATTTTCACGTCTGAATGTCGCCTGTCATAACCTCAGAACACCACTTCGAATTATTTTTTATTTTATCTACGGCTAGATCGGGCCGATCGCCTGAAACTGAAAACAAACACGTTTGTTTTTGAAGTGACCGAGTCGGGCGATCAGCGTGATCGGCCGATCCCATCCGTATAGTCTCGTAGTGGGCATCCGCGTATTAGTAGGCAGTTTAGTGAACGCGCTCGCGGCAGGGCGAATCGGCCGCGGTACGCCCCATAGATTTTTGTGACCGGCCGTGAAGCCTCGCGCTGCGGTGGGTCTAAACAACTCAGTTTTGTTTCGTTTTGCGAATTGCACTACCACTCCCGATACATCTTTTTAAACAGAAAAGAAACGTCTTCAAAATGGCGGTCTTCGCGTGAAAATCGGTTCAGTAGAACTGGAAATATTTGCATCTGAAAACAAGGCAGTTTTTACAATGCGATAAAATGAAAACTACTGGCTGTATATTTATGAATCTTTCAGAAGTTATAGATTATCCATTCTAGTTTCTTTTGATACCCGAGTTGTTTAGGTTGAACTTCGCACAACGCTACGGCGCTTCCCGTAAAAATGCATACAAAAAGCCGAAACGCCGAATCGTCCGGTCAGCGACCCGGCGCCCCCGCTCTCCCCTGCACACTGTGATAACGTATTGCGCCGGCATCGCATTTATTCGCGCTTTACTTGTTTCTCGGGATAATAATAATACGTGCGGTTATGAAATTATGAACGGACAGACAAAAGAATTCACAGTTTTGCTTTTATTTTACCATATTTGGCTCTTGAATAGTGCAAATGATAGCTAAATCTAGAATTCAGCAGTAGTAGGCTAGAAACAGTAAAAAAAAGCCAGCATATTTAACTATTTATGCCTTTGGGCTTTGGAATTGAAATAAAGCTTGAATTGCACAGTTCTAATTGATGTTAGATTCAGCATCTAGCTATATATTTCAGAGTTAATAATAAATTTCATCATAACAATTGCTTTTATGAGACAACCTTTTTCTTAAATCAGTTTTGTGCAAACTTACTTGTTAGTAGTATAGTAGTAGAGAACAGAGTTTATCTGAGCCTCTGCTCAGTCTTTCACTTTCAGTACCTAATAATTTAATGTTGTTATTTTCTGGATATTTTTACATTTATATTATCAAATTGAGCCATTAAAAAAAATATAATTTATGGCCAATGAGTCTGACTCAATATTTTAAAAAAAATATGCTCATCAATAAAAATTGCTAGTTGATAATAACTCACAATGTAATGAATAGTGAAGAAACATGTGTGAAAAAATAATAGAATGAGGTAGACTATAAATATAATTTGTCCAAAAAATTGCAAGTGCAACTTGTGTGAAGATCATAAAATGACTGTTATTTTTTTCCTTTTCATCTTTCCGCAGTTTATTAAATGTTCCAGTGGGTCTACAACTAGGTCTCCGAAGAGCATTTTTCTTGAATTTATAAGCTCTTTTATGCACTTGAAAGCATAAAATATAGCTTCACACAAATGTATGTTACAATACTTTGTAAAAGAAGGATAGGGAGCTGACTTATGGCGGTCATTAAGAGGTTGTTGGGGCTTTTTTTACGGAATCCGTTTAACGGTTAGAGAAACACTAAAAATACGTCTTGAAATCTTAAGAATGGCCATAAAAATTGGAAATTATTACTTAATTGGCTTAACTCTTTAATAATTATGAACAGTGAAAAAAGACAAAGAGAATGATGTATGATTTGTCTAAATATGACCATTAGCAGCAAAGATATAGCCCATTTTGTCCATTTCGGGTTATCCTTGCGGGGGATTTTTTATCACCCTGAACCTCTAGAAGTACCCAAAAAATATTTCTGTGACTTTGTAAAGAGGAGTTTTGTAGTTGTGTGCATTCTGTGTAAAATTCCCAACAAATTGATGTACAACACTTTAAAAAATATGCATTTTGTGTTGAGTAATGGTCATTTGTGTTGTAAAGTTGCATTTTGGTGTCACAAAAACTCAGTGTTAAAAGTGGCCTGAAATTGGCCGGATTTTAGGCATGAAAAATCGTCATAACTTTTTAACTAATAAAGATATCAACAAAATTTAAACTGTTTTATGATCATGAAGGCAAGAGCTTTCAAATGAAAGTATTTCAAAGCATATCAGACAAATTTGAAATTTTCACTAAACTGCCTAGTATTAGCATATTATTATTATTTCTTTCATCGCGGCCCTTATTGCGTTCATGTGCCGTAGAATCTTCGCATTGATCATTTCTCTAGATCTAGATCTAGACAAATTTGCAAAAAAAGTTTCTTTCTGACAGTAATTTTTTGTCTAAGATCATAAGTCAATTTACTTGATCAACGCGCAGATTTTCCAGCCGCGGCAACAATCCGAAGATAAACAGAAGGAATGAGTGAATGATAGAAAGGAGGAAATTGGCACAAAAGGTTCGCCAGATTTTGATCCATCTGCAGGTAAAAAATGTACTGCCGACCAACCCGCAATGAATTCAAGGGACATAGCGGTATAATGGCCGATTGCAGGAAAAACGCAATCTGGCAGGTGTTCAATAACTTTAACTTGTTGCCGAGAGAATTACCGTAAATATCCGTAACTACAAGACGATAGGAAGGCGAGTACGGAATTTCGGCAGTCCTGCGCTGTCGCAGTATTTTTTTACCGAGGGAGATGATGATGAAGGAGGAACAAGTACGGAACTGGCAGAAAGTACGGATTTCCGTAAAAATACGGAAGAGTAGAAGCACTGTGTAATATAAAATAAAATCGTCTCTGTGTATATCCATTGTTGGACAGTGTCCTACTGTGAGGTAGATTAAGATGCGTTTAGATAATATAGTTTACAAGTCATGGGAATATTTCGCATGTGTAGGCTACAAATCATACAATAAATGTAATATATTTACACCCCCCCCCCCCTTCTCTCTCTCTCTCACGCACACACGTGCACTCACGCACGCACGAGTGAACGATAACAATGTATAAATGGGACTATCTTCCCAGACTGGACTAAATAAGTACCATACTCTTTAATAACAATCTTAATGCCTCACTTTTCCAAACAGAGCACACAGGACGAGTCCAAGTGTGTGCTTTCCCAAGAGGGGGGAATAGACTTTCATAACGCAAACACAATGCCACCACTTCTCAAGATGTTTGCTTTTCTGTTTCTATTCTTCTGTCATTCAATCAAGCAAATAAAAATGACTACATCTATTGTATTGTGACTAAAATGCAACAAAAATGCAATTTATCAAGGTCCCCGTTTAGTTTTCAAGTATCCTTCCCCCCCTTTCCGGTTCACATAAGCAGGGCCTCGTTTGTAGCGCCCGAGGCAACCGATGGCTGATGACGTCACTGAGTGGAAATTTCCCAGCCGCCGGTCGTTCACCCAGCACGCGCAAATGGCAATGCCGCTTTTTCCCTTAGTTACTCCCACATTTTTAAACCGCTAAACACAGAAGCATGAAATTTTAAGGGAATAAAGAAAAATGGTGTACAACGTATCAGTCAGTTTGACAAATCACAGCTCCGAAAAATCTTCAAAGCGCAACACACCCACTACTTTCGCAAACGTTTTCGACTGCTTCTTGGATGGGTACAAAGTTGTCAAACTGCATATTACGAGATTGACCTCTTTTCTGATTGGCTGCCAAGTTTCATTCATATCCATTCACGAAAAGCGGCATGAGAGCCAGTTGAAGACAACAACCTTTGCGTTAGTGCATCCCACGAAACACCCCTGCGGCGTGGGCCAAAAATCGGCAGAACAAAACGCGCTCGGTGGGCATTGTTACACTATACTTCAGCAATCAGTGACATCATCTACCATTCCGAGGTCTTACAACTGAGAAAGACCTCTCTTAGCAGAAAAAACAAAGGTTCTGTTGTTTTGGGGTTTTTTTTCCAGTAAATTATAAGACAATCCCATATTTTTAATATCATTAAACTTTCAGTAACATAATTTAAAATCATACTGCAAAAAATGAAACTAAACTCCGACTGGATACTTCCCATTCATTCATGGTGAAATGAAGCAGTGACAGATGACAACAGCAAGCATACATACCATATGTTCAAATTTGAGGCTCTGCATGTGATTCATGTACCGGTTGCAGTAAAACAAATATCTCTGCAAAGCTGCTCGAGACTTCTGGAAATAAGACGAAATAGTGATACAACAGCTTCAAACAGAGGAAGTTTTAGTACTCAAACAATTCCATTCAAATATTTACAGGAATTAAACAATTTAACAAAAATTGGAACTGTGTCACCCTTTCATTATTTATACATAATCTACTCTTGTATTACTTTGTATAATCTAAAAAAAGTTTTAATCAATTCTTATTCTAGATCTACAAATAATTCTATTCAAAATTCTATTTAAGTTGGAAAGAGTGGAAATATATGCAAATTTCTTATATATACTTCTTAATCAAATTTCAACATGCAGGAACCAACACAGCTTCAGAACTTTCAGATGTGGCCCTCCATCTTAAAGACATATAATGACCCCTGCAACTGTCTGCATCATTTTTGTTTGATGGGGGATAAATTCTGACTATGCTCATTCTGAAAATGGTTATCCCATTCCTATAAAACAAACAAAAATAAAAAAGCATGTTATATGACAATGCCTACATTCTTTTGAACTACTATACTAATTATGAACAAACAAACAAATTCAGTAGCTGTTCAAGACCAACCTCTTGACTATCCCTGGCTTTCTTGGCATCATCTTCGTTGTACCTGTTACAGTTGTACCTGAAAAGTCCAGAATACAAAATAAGAAACTGCAGTTACATCCCATGACCAACTTCCTTTCTAGTCCAAAATCAAACAGCTACTTGGTAGCAAGGCTGAGACTGTCTCTGTCCAATATATCTCAAAGCATTTGAATTGATTGTATGCAGCATACAAGACAGTTCAAAATTTTTTTAAACGGAATTTGAATACAAGCTATTTTTCAATACCACACCAAACTAATCTCACCAACCCACCAATGACGGTGAAGAAACAGTTTTCATACACTAAATTCTTTTTCCAAAATGGTCCTAGTCCAAGCAATGCTATGAGGCAGTGACCAGAAAGAGTAAGCCAAGCACACATCTCCAAGATAGACCCTCGTGAACTCTTTCAAAATTGTTACTTTATTGTACAAAGTGCCAAAAATATGAGATGACACTACGTGCCCTACATGTAGGTCATCATGATAGTCCCTCAACTGAAATTTATAAGTCTGGTGCGCTTCTCAGAAAGAATTATCAAATGAGGGTCTTTAGTGGTTAATTGACAATGAAGAGACCTAAAAACCAGGATCTTAGCCAGGATAGTTAATTAGTAACTATGATTTTTTTACAGAGACTTTTAGAGCAAATTTCCAATTTGAGTCACAGGCAGGGCTACTGGTGGACAACAACTAAAGGCAGCAGGATCTCAGATGGAGATCACTGTATTTATATGATACAATCCCAAATATTCAATGAGTAGCTACTGGACTAATTAATTCTTTCCCCATATACAAATTATGATCCATTAATTGTCACATTTTAGAAAATTACACACACAGATAGGAAAATCAAGTGTCATGTCTGAAAGCACCAATGCTGATTTGTAAACCAAAATCAGGAATAAATATGTTAATATAACTCACTTCCCCTAACCCTCAATCAAATCCCCATGTACTCACCAAGATGAGCCATGAGGCTCCCAGGGTCCAAGACAAACCCAGCAGAAGTCTGCCTTACAGTTCTGATTTTTACAAACCATGTGGTTGCAGCCGCCATCTTTCTCTATCGTCACGTGACATTTTGGACATTCCTAGGAAGACAAATGAAAAACCTTGACAAAAACCACTGCCTAAACAGATATCTTATAAACCAAACACATAATAAGACAAATTTCATAGAGGAAACTGGGAATGCCCTTTCACTAACTTCTGCAAAGCTATAAAATTATATAAATGTGAAAGCAACCTCATTCTCCATGCCAGTGTACAATTCTTTTTCACTTTCTTTTCTCATATACATACCAATATTTATGTAAATCTTCCTGCCAAGTATTTAATCACCCATTCTCACATTTTTTGCTCTTCATTTTTTCTAAAAAAGAAAAACACACCTGAGCACTAAAATTCCCATGTCCACTTCAGGTAATACATTGACAACAGAAAATAAACACATGAAAATACACTTACACACTAATGATCACACAAAAATTCTCACAATCCTGCCCAACGTGCACAACCCTAAATAGTACCTTCGTATTTGCCGCTATCCAGTTAGATGTTTCACTATCATCATCACATTTCTTGATCCACTGACGAAGCCACTTGCACCGCACTGGATCGTGCCAATTTTCTCCACAAGCAAAACTGTTGAAAGAAAACATGGTTTTATTCCCATGTCATATAAAACACAAAAATGGGGGATAGCAACTTTAATAACAACATCTCCAAAACTCTGAAACACAAGAAAACGAATAGCTTCAGACAACTGGAACAACTGCATTCAGAAAAATTGAAGAACAATATGAACTCATGCCGACATAATCCAATAATAAAAAATACCTCACAGTTCAAACTGAAAACTGCTCAACTGAACCATACCAGTTTGGTCAACACCATAACATTTTCTGTGAGCCAGGAAGACAAACCTCAGCCACATATAAATATAAATCTACAAGGCTTACAGAACTGAAGAAATAACTGATTGCAAATCAAAATCTCTCTGGCTCCACTATTTTGCATTAAAGACCAAAACAGGGCTTCCACAAGTACAAGAAAAAACATCCCAAATAATATGAATGAACAAAGAAACTCTACTTGGTAGGAAAATCAGTGCCCACGATAAACTAAATCTGCCAAGATTCACTGTAAATTGTAAAGAAAATCTCCTTCATTGCAACTTTCCAACCAAGCCTTAGAGAAAGGCAGTACAAAGATATAAGTACATTTTACAAACTTTAGCCACGGGTAACAGGGAAAGATCAGGGAAACGTAGCTTCTTTGAGAGCATCCGAGCAAAAGAATGAATGGAAAACCATGATCGCCGATGTCTGTCGCAGATCTGGCACTGGATGATGATCATGATGAGCCACAAATTATGAAAAACTTGTTCATGTGGTGCCTAGAGATGACACCCACATCAACACAACAATAATAATGTAGTGCCATGGAGAGAACAAAAAAACCCCCAAAAAACAACAAAAGCAAAAACAGTCTGCAGATAGAAATAAACAGGAAAGAGGTGACATTCTCACTCTGTTTTCTGACAGACATAAAGACTCACCAAAAAGTATGGCCACATACACAGGTCACTGGCTTAGCATCATGGTGAGCCACCTTGACTGCATGGCCACAGTCCGGGGCTGGACACCACCTCAATAACCTGTTGCACTGTGAAGGAGAAAGTAATGTGGGTATGAGGAAACAAAAGATGATGCAAGGCCAAGAAACCAGGACACCTAAACTATACAACATTACATTTTAGTAAAAAGTCCAGTACATTAGAAACAGAATTTTCGCCCTTGTCTGAGAAGGCTAGGTGTAGATCCTTCCTACCACAAGATCAAGGAAGTGGCTGAAAGACAGCAGTAAGGAGCCAAGGAGTAACAGTAGACAGGCTGCAGAAAGAGTCAGAGCCAAGAGAAGGGGGCAAAGGAGGTGAGGGGATGTGGGCAGAAAGTGGAGACGAAACCAGACGATAGAACATTGTTAAAGAGCAGGAAAGGATGTGAAAGGAAAACATTTTAGGAGAAAATTTTCCATCGTTATCTGGATTCCAACGCGGGACCTATTGAATGAGAGGTGAACACCTTAACCTCTAGGCCACGAGAGCGGCAGAGCCCCCATCTAGTTTTTATATTTTAGTATTGAAGCAAAATGCAAGCGTTCCTAGCTAAAACTGACACTAGTCAGAGATCTCAAATTTAACACAAATTCACATTCAAGAAGTGGCAGGCATAATCATCTTTACTCCACTGAGGAATTATCGTGACTTGAACTTGAAGTTTCACAAACAATGGGCAAAGAGTGCACATGCTCACATTGCAAAAAATTACTTACCTCTACAAAACTATTTGTAATGATTTGTTGATATTTTAACTTCACTTTCTGGTCTTTTATCAACTCCCTGAAACAAATGAATATAAATACCATATTAGCAATCACAATCAATTGAACAGTTTCAACAAATTAAAAAAACTTTATATTACCCAATAACTTTTCACAGTATGACAGGACAATGAACAATTAATTTTCATTGATTAATTTAATGCTGTCAGAGCCGTCACAGATAAAGAATCTTTGCATTAGAACTTTCCAGGCTGAGTAACTTTCAGTCTTTGCGTTTGTATACATCTAAAGATAACAGAAACAGCCTTCATCTTTCACAACGCTTTATTAAGACTGGCATTAATTTGCAATGTTATAGATCAAAATTCTAAGGGATACATAAAAACATGTATTGTATCTATTTGACTAACAGATAAATAAACAAAAGACGAGGACTTAACAATCTAGAAAAATCACTAAGAATTCTACGAAAACTCTTTAAAGCAAAAACAAAACAAAACAAAAAAAACCCCTCAAACTCACATCACACTCTGATCATCCACAAGAATATCACAGCCATAGGCAGCACACGAAATGGTTTGCCCCATTCCCTCATCCATGATCTTGGATGTGAGGTATTCGGCCCAACACTGGGCGCAGAAGCGGTGGCCACATTCCAGACCTTTCATGTCCTGAAAAAAAAAGTTTATAATTTAATATCTTGTAAAAAAAACCCACCAAAAAAAGATAACATAATTATGCAAGTAATATAATTAATTCAAACTTTTCTTTCTTACAGCCTAAAAATAATCACACAAAAGCTTTGGTCCATTTCCATTACATCCATTGCTTCTAGGCAACAAGTGTATGTATGCCAATTAAACACACTAACAATAACACATCTATAACAAATGAACAAAGAGAAACAAAAGTTGCTTTTGTTTTTTAACAAGAGCAGTTAAAAAGAACAATCATGACTTAAAATGCAAGCCATTTAAAAAAAAATACTTGCAACAAGATATCAATGAAATACAGGGCCTTCCCAAATTCCCTATCATATTAAAATGAAATGACATCTATTTTGAAAAAAAGGGAAACACTTTTATCTGAAATCTGATCATATGATTTATTTATCAAAACCTGTCACTGGTGATGTCAAAGACTACATTTAAACCTGAATAGCAAAATCTAAATAAAGCACACTTGAATACTTAAAGCACTTACTATCATCCCCTTGGACAAATAGCAAATCTCACACAAGACATTATCATCTGGAACACTATTGCGGCCGGAACGCTGAAATAAAGGTCATCAAAAATTAATTAAACTAGTATTCTATATATCTAAAGCCTTGTTCATCAGTTAAGTCACTATTTTTGGGGATAGAAAGTAACCTTTTCACACTTTCAATTATGCAGAACAGAAAAGGACCTGAGAAACAAAGCAACATTTTTCAATATTGCCAGAGCCCTACAGTTCCCTAGTCTACTTCTGTAATTCACGTGCACATGGTAAGGACAATTAAAAACTTTTGAATTGCCAACACTTTTGAGACAGTACTCAGTACCTACAATATTGGGATGTTTGAAAGTATTAATGCATGGTGAGGTTATTTCGAAAAAGACCAGATGCATATTCCATAATAGAAGAATCTAGGAACAAATCATCAACGAAACAAAAATAATAACTAAAAATTTGTATTCAAATCAGAGAAGCAGCAAGGATAATATAACTCTAATTTGATAATTACCTTTTTAAAAATCCACCTGCAACATGTCACCCAGAAAATTGCACTGACCATATTACTTAAAATGAGGTTATTTGTCTGTTTCAAATGAAAAGCTTTACAGCGTAATAATTATCCTTCAGCAACCCCCCCCCCCCCCCAACTAAAGAATAACATATGCCCACATACACACTCATCAAGGTAAGGCATTTCTCTATAATTCACTTAAATCAAGGACTTGAAAATATAAACAGCAAGATGTTTAGAAGCAATTGAGGTGTGGAGAGCTGAAAAAAAACAACAATAATGACTCAATTCATACCCTAATAACCTTTCCATTCCCTCCTTCACGACGATGGGGACTGACGACGTGTGCCTCCGAAAACAGTTTGTCTTGATCACCATCATAATACCTGTGAAAATGCATACAATAAGAGACACAAAGTCTATACAATAAACAACAGTGTGATAAGATATGAAGGGACTCTTCACTCTATGGGACAATTCTGCACACTTTTTTTTACCCATTTGACATCCCCCCCCCCCCCCCCCCCCAAATTTTTTTTAAAAAATGATTTTTTAATCAATCAATCAATAAAAAATAAAAAATTACAGCTTTTCAAATTAGTTGTACCCCTTTCATTTTCAATACAGAAAAAGTAAATTTTTCATGGCACAAAACTCGCTTAAAATTAACTGACCTCAAAACAGTCTCACGTTAAAGGGCATTTTACTCAACAGACCCTGTAGTCTAAAATATAAATATAAAAGTGTCATTTTATTAGTCCAACTTCAAGTGCAACAATAAATAAATGGACTTTCAGTGATAATTCTATGATATTCAGATGCATGAATTCTTATTTTAATTTTAAACTTATGTGAGACAGAAAAAAAACAACAGGTGACAAAACGTTACCTTTCCATGAGTTTTTCTTTATCCCACTTGAAATGGTTTAAAAGAATGCGTGTTATTGTGGCAGGAATCTGCAGGAAAAAAAACCCAGTGATAATTGGATAATGTTATTATTATGAAAGAACATTGCACATTGAGGCAGGATTCATACACACACACATTATTGCTGTGTCTAGCAGAAGAAAAATAATGCAACTCCAATGGGTTGATTTGTTTTTGCTAACCTGTAATCAACCCATAACGTGTCTTTGATAATTTCTCAGAGAACAATGCTTAGAGATCATTTTAGAATAAGGGCAAACTCCAGCATTTATATTACATAATAATCAGCAAATTTTGTGCTATTTAAACAAAGAAAAAAGGATTTATAGTCCACACCACTTGCAGTGAAGTCGGTTGTAAAGATCTTCGGATGAAGTGATCTTTTTCCGTGGAATGGGCATCTATGTAATACAAACTCAAAAAAATTGAAACAGTTGTATCGAAATCACTACATCCGTCGTGACAGCTGTAGTGATACGTATTCTTATCCCCAGCCCATAGTTCAAAGTAAAAATATAACGGCTTTAGCGATCATGTTTCCCTCCGAGGTTAGTATTCACCTAGCATTGATGAATCCAATGTTTTGTAAAGTTATGCACATTCACATAATAGTACGAGTCATCAGACACTTATCGAGCAATCTCCCACATGATACTATTGATAACCTTACACATGATAAGTGCGAAGCAAACACGATACTGCCTCTCTCTCACTTCGTCTAGTAGCGACATGAGGGACAACTACAGTGAGGTTGAGTACTGGGATTATTTCCCTTGAATTTTTCTTCCAACAGCTGTTGCGAACTTCGGAGGTAGCGATCTTTTTTCTGTTCCCCAATGACATCGCAAAAAGCGTAGTCAACTGTATAACCATAATAGCATCTCTTCTATTTCAGAATCAGACCCACAGAGCAATAGCGAAGCATATGATATGTGAGGCAACATGGTGAAATCAGGCGCTCGTCAAGATAATTATGTAATCAATGAATACTGGCATTCTTCTGGCCCTAGGGCAATTTTTTCCAAATTATCTTTTTTTGAGCTCAACACCTATGTTCATTTTTAAGAGCACATTTCTGAAAGTGCATTTTACTGAAAAACATTGATCAAAGGCACACAAAAAATGAAAATTTGCACTCAAGCTTTGGAGGTCACCAAACTTTGGCAGCTATTTTATCTCTAATTTTACCTCTGACACCAAACAACCCCCACTTCTTTCAATTCCGAATATCTTAACTTCTATTCAAGAATGACGAGTATTTTTCTGTGCCAAATGCAAGACAAACGGACATGATTTAAGTTGACAGCATACTAATAAATCCATATGCTAAAAAATTGACAAGTGCCTGATTCCACCACATTGTGACATATATTCATGATAATAAAAAAATTACATATATATGTATTCCATTACCACCCTCTATCATATATGGCCATGGACAGGAAACAATGTTTATGTTTTTATAATCTTTCAAGAGGAAATAGAGATTGCTTTTCATAAGGACATATCATCAGGCTCTGCTCTTTCAGGAATTGAACCCTTGACTTTTAAATTGCATGCCTGGCAATCTTACTGATGAGCCAGCCACTATCACTAACACTATGTGACTACCTACTTATTAATATTACAAAAATATTAAATAATCCAATTTACTAAACACATGATAACACAACACAACCGAAACCTTATCTAAGTTTACAAAAATTTGAAGCTGGTGACTGCCTGCCATTTTTATAAAGCAGTCCACACAATTTTTGTGTTAAATTCGTTATGGGACAGCAGACCTGCAACCCTAGAATCTAAGCAGTGGTAATAAAATGATGGCTCTCAAGCATAGTAAGAACAATCAGAAAAAAATTAATTTAAAAATGACTTTTAACCAAGAAACGAACAAACAATGGTCTTTACATTTTCTCTCGAACAATTCGATATTATCTAAGCCACGTTTTGAGCACATTGCTATAAAACCCTGACAAGCTTTCTAGTTATCCAAAGAAAGTCGGGGCGACAACAAGTATTATAAATTACCCACAAGCAACTTAATGTCTCAGCCCAGCACACTGTCAACTCAAAATCAGAATTGAAGTTCAGTAACCGGGGTGAATTTTCGCCCTTACAGTCTTCCAGTCTGCTGCTCCAGGCAATGAAGTTTAAAGACTCACTAATAAGAGAACAAAGAAAGTCAGAACCCTCACGAGATAGTGAATGGGGAGGAAGTGGGGGTAATTTCTGTAATTTTTGTGATTTTATTGTAAGTCTTGTATACATGTGATTAGTTTGAGTGTGATTTGGACCCGTGTAAGTTTTTGTTCTTCAACACTTTGTCGCCGATCGGCGATGTTTACCATTCAGTTTCTTTGGATTTTTCACAAAATGCCTTTATTTGCTTTTGATGGCAAGAGTTTTTACTTATATGAGCCTTGTGATGGCAAAGTGTAAGTGTTTTATGGCGTTCGCAACTGCATAGGTCATATGAGCGCGCCCTAATATTTTCAGTTGGTAGCAAATTTTGAATTTTGCCCGAATGGCGGCTGAAGCCTACTCTTATCAACTTTAGACAACCAAGGGATCTTTAACAAGTGCAACTTGCACACGGGCCCTTCGAGATATTTCGCCCTTGTCCGAGAAGGCTAGGTGTAGATCTTTCCTACCACATAGCTGCCACTCAGGAATTTAAAAAAGGAGGAAATTCAAGCGAAGGCGTACGCGCTCTAAGCGAAGGCGTACGCGCTCTCTCCAAAGGCCGGAGTAAAACCAGTGAGATCCAGAGGCAATATACTGGAAAGTGTAACCTATGGTTTTGGAAGGGAAAATTGTCATATTTGTTAACCATATAGGCAACCGAATTAAAATGTATTTGAAAGAGAAAACCCCCCAAAAAAACAACAAGGCAGTAAGTTGACTAACAAGCAATTGACACAGTTCGGTAACTAAAAATCAAGTGTCTGTTGCAAGCTGGTGTCTCATAAAAAGATTTCTTTCACTTTAAACTTGTATACATCGATGTAGAGCAGTATTGGATTAAGGAGGCAACACCTTTGCCCGCTGTACTGAGCGATTTCGGCACTCTGAACAATTGCGGTCCCATTTGCTTTTAGTGCTCCTGTAGTGTGTTTCTTATTTTTAGAGATCTAAACTGAATTAAAATAATAGCCTAGGCTATCTAATCTAGAACTAGAATCGAGATATCTAAATATGTGTAGATCCAGATTATATCCGGAAATAGATTATCTCGGCTATCTAGGCCTAAAGCTAGATTGAATCATATCTAGATTCACTTCCACAGCCACAATAGCCATATTATGTAAACAAACGGGACCGCAATTGTACAGGAGTAACACGATTTCTTTATCGCACCTTACGGAAAGTGCAGCAAACGGCTTGTTCAATTTTCTAAAGAACTTTTAAAGTCGCACACACCGGCTGCTTCTGTCTCATTCCAGCTCCTTTTATTTTTGGATTCTGCATCAAATTCTCTCGAATTTCCGCCGTTTTCAATGACAAACTCGGCGCGCCAACGTCCCGATGCTCGATCGACACTGCTGCTTGCCCCCCTGATCAGTCATACACCTGATCAGTCATATTCTTTCTTTTTTGTTTTGGTTTGGAGGGGGGGGGGGGGGGGGCGGCTTGCCCTCCTGATTAGGTAAGTTTTAGAGGGGGGGGGGGTGTCTTCTTTTTTTTTCTTCCGTTCAAAACACATACAAAATGAAATATTTTTTTCTCTCTTCGTCCCTTACCGTGCATGAAAAAAGCAAAGGTAGTTCAGTACAGAGAAAGTCGTGCATGTCTACAATGGCAACTCATATACACAGAGAAGTCCTCTCTAAAATGCAAATAAGGTAGACTTGGCGCAGAAAATTACTGCTGTTTACCTTCTTTTTTTAAGCCGATCAAATCAGCGTAGCTAATTAAGCGAAGTAACCTCAACAAAACCCTTCGAGGTAAAAAATTACGAAGTGGCTAGCCGTACTTAGATCTAGGTTTGGCCCAATCGACTCAAGCCTGTTAAGTACACAGGTCTCATTAGATCTAGATCTAGTAATTATTCAGGTTCAAATACATGCAAGTCAGTAAGGCACCTTTTGGTTTTGTCTGAAATACAAATACTTTAGGCATTGCAAACTAAAATTTTCATTTACAATTCAGCCATCAATATTAAGTACGGCTAGACTGACAGTCTAGCCGTCCTTAAGTACGGCTAGCCTGGCTGTCTACCCGTACTTAAGTACGGCTAGACAAGAAGTCTAGCCGTACTTAAGTACGGCTAGACTGCCTGTCTAGCCGTACTTATCTTAGGCCCTATTTACATTAGAAAACAGGAGGTTTAAAATACATGCACTGTCATTAAGGAACCTGGTTTTGTCTCAAATACAAATACTTTAGGTACTGCACACTAAAAATGTATATTTACAATTCAGTAGGCCTATTTTTTGTAAATGGTCAGTCTAGCCATCATATTAAGAATAAGTACGGCTAGACTGTGAGTCTAGCCGTACTTAAGTACGGCTAGACTGCCAGTCTAGCCGTCATTAAGTACGGCTAGCCTCTTCCAAAAAATTATTATGATGTTTCTGTGACTCCCAATAACGTTAAAATGGGCAGTAGTCGACTCCCACAACCAGTTGACATTATGGGCAGTCGACTCCCAATAACCAGTAGACATTATGGGGAGTCGACTCCCAATAACGCCTTCCGACATTGACATTGGGGATTTTACTGTTGAGGCTCTAGAAAAGCCTGTTTGAGTATCTGGCAAATTGACTGACTTGATAGATGCATAAATCAATTGCGTGCAGGCTAGATCAATCTTGACAAGTGCGGTTGTAGATCGTCGGTAGATCCTTCCAGTATTCTTTTATATGGCCAATGAGACAAATTACATTAGGGCAAAAAAAGAGTTTGCCACATTTTGAGTATTTTAAAAGCTTCCTTTCCAGTTGTGGGTGAGCACAGCTTGCAAGCTTACTAACTCTCTATCTATGCTATGCTTCAGCATTTCCAATTTAATCATTAATAATAATTTTATTTTACGATGCCATCTAAAATGACCTGATACAAATTTTTTTTAACTAACTTGACTATATGTGTAACTTTGGAAGCTTCTAAGCCTTGATGTCTAAAAAATTTAAACATAAATCACCAACCTGAACTACTGCATTGACCTCTTTTATACAGTCCACCATGAACTCAACAATTTGATCTGCAGTGAGAACTTCATAGGTGAAATCCTCATCCTCTCTGCGTTCATTAGTTGACGATTCATGAGGTTCTTCATCCATGGGCAGCTCGTCTTCGTCTTCATTGTCAGTAACACCTGGGGTACCATCGGAATCACCGTCCCCAAGAAAATCATCGTCACTGTCCATCATGGCTAGCTCCTTCTAATAATACAATTCCAACAAAGGCAAAGGCAAAGGAAACAGCAATGATGAAGTCATAGAGGAGCTAAACAGTTCACATCCAAATAATTGTTATTGAAATTAATCATTTACAAAATTTCAGTTATTTCCAATCTGTGGTCAATGAAGGAACACTTGGTGGTGATCTTTAAAATTTCAACAACTTCTTCCACTGTGATTGCAAAAAAGGCCTTACAAGGCGACTTAAATTAGAATCTAGTAATCTCTCACTGAAAACCGTAGCTAGCTTCCAGAATATCAAGCATCTAGCTTGTAACCACACACAGATTTTGCACGGTCACGACTTTACTCACTTTACTTTAGTTAGGCTTTAGGTAGGCTAGATGATCCATTCAAATTACTTAAATTAGATTTTGCAGCTCCCCTCTGAAAATTGGGTCAGTAATAGTAACAAGACTGAAAGCTCTGGAGTTATTCAAGGGCATATGAACAATACACCAAAGCCATGAGAACGAGCGTTTGCTTTGTAGTAGCAGGCTATTGCATTCACACAATCTTCCCTTTCGCCAAAATTGTCAACAGTTCCAATACAGACTCAGAGGTTTACGTTAGTGACGTCATCTTCGGGAAGTCCCGAGTGCTGATGAAAGGTGCGAACCCTACTTATTCAATCGAAATTTCACTAAATAGTGCAGACTTTAGAAACATATATCAGAGAAAACATTAACAGTCTGAAATAGTGAGTAACACATACTCACTAACAAGTTGCTATAATCGGATCAGGATGTTGCTGAACCAAAACAGAATGACGGAGATGACATCATCTTCGCCAAAAAAAGTACGGAACCCTGGGAGGAGCAAAACGAAGAAACAAGGAATAGTATAGATTTAGGCCTACCATATAAAATGTCCTAAAATTGAAGAGGTTCACAACATTGTCAGTCTAAAACCATGAACCTTCCGATTAATACCAAAACCATAACTTGAACCACTGCGTTTATCTGTTAATTGTTATTTCATAATATTCTTTTCAGGCCTCTTTCACATTAAATGCAAATCTTATTTTTGTCAGTTGTTCTTGATTTAAACAAACTCAACAGGTTTCACCCCTCCTGTATGAGAAGAATAGATTAAAATTTACTGGGAATTCACTGAAGGGTTTAATAAATCCTAGACACTAGAGTTCTTGAGAAGGTGCGAACCCCACACGATAGGGTAGCATCTGCCACCCGAAGTAGTCCACCTTAGATGGGCGGAACAGTTTGTCCGAATGCCTAACACACTTGACCCCCCCCCCCCCCCCCCCAAGCTGTTTTTCACTCTGAATTTCAGAATTTATTCGGAAGGCGGAACATGTCCCCCCTCTTTTCAACAAAAAAAAAGATAAACTGAAGACTTGTCCGAAAGATTGCTCCTTGAATCAACGATTGATGAGGATGAATAGGAACAACCTGTCATGGCCAATCACAGTGGTGTAATGTTAAAGCAATTTAACATTATGTGGCTTAAGGTTTTTGAGAAAAACGTAGCTTGTGAAGAAGATAGCCAGATCAATTGATAATACAGTTAAGTCCTGACAGTGCCACTGGCCCAAAAGACAACGTCTGTGGAAAACCATGAACAAGAATGTGCTTGACGGTCATGACAAGAAAAGCTATAGCCTACATTAGAATGTTTAACCAATTTGAATTTTTAAAAAGCACACTACAGTCGAACCTGTGTAAGACGGAATCGCAAGGGAGCCAGAAAAAAATCCGTCTTAGACATTTCCCGTCTTAGACAGGGGAATTTAGGGGGAGATGGAGGTTTGGGGGCGGGGGGAGTTCAAAGCCCAGCCGGTGGGATCAAGGATCGCTTGTCCGATCGGCTAGCAGTGGTCAAAACTTCACAGCTCTCAGCTGCTAACCTCTCTGATAATGACATGTGTCAGTCTTACTTATCCAATTACCGCCAGTGCTTGCATTTCATTGGACCACTTTTTGACCTATAAAAACAGGAACGTTTGAACATCCCCTTTGCTTCCACCCTTACCCCACCCACCAATGCCACCCCTCCCCTCACTGCCATCATGTAACAACGATTCGAGGAACTCTTTTCTCGGCTGGCATTGGTCAATCTAATTTCACACCTCTGGCTTCTGGCTACCCAAGAAAGTTTCCGTAGTGGCTCGCTACTCGAGCACTCTCACAGGCAGTCGTGAGATTTCACACCCACACTATACTGGCCATCTGCATCACTCAGGGCTCACACGATGGGGTTAACGTCAAGACCGAGAGAGAGAGAGAGAGAGAGAGAGAGAGAGAGAGAGAGAGAGAGAGAGAGAGAGAGAGAGAGAGAGAGAGAGATCAGAGAGGGCGGAGAGGTGCGGTGAGGAAGACTTGGTAGACATAGAAAGAGACGTTATTTGACATACATTGTAAAAGGTCACAATCAAACTGAGGTTTGGAAAGGTAAGTTGCTGAAAGTGAAAGACTGCGCCATGTATATAGTACGTGCGGACTGAATGAGCCAGCAAGAGCAGATCGGGTGGCGTGGTGAAAGTGTGAATGTTTGCCTCATCAATTTTTGCCTTCTGAAACATCATTATAGTGCAATTCAACATAGTAAGAAAGAATCCACTAAATTATTTTAAAAGACCATATAACATATTTCTGGTTGACGTTCTGAGCCCTTCGTGCAGTTATATTCGGGTTTACCTTTTGCTGCGAGCAGGATAATAATAACCCGCTGCCATAATATCTCTCCTTACACAGGCACAGGCCTCATACAATGCAGGATTACATAACTTACGATTAGTAGACTTAAACAAGAAAAAGTGTGCACACTGCTCAAATATTCAACTCATAATATTATTATGCACAATTAACCCTCAACTTCCCATTGAGTGTGTCTGTTTAGCCTTTAACATACTCACGTACCTTGGTTTTGAATTGTAATGCTTTATTTATGTTAATAATTAATACAATGAAAATGTTGATGCGGTTTCTTTGCTTTATTTGGTTAATTCGAACCGGTAGTGCGATAATATTGTGTTTCCATGCCAAGGTTGCCCATCATATAATATAGAAGTGCCTGTAATGCCTCTCATGATAAGTAGATATTCGCCAGGTGGAAAAGGTCCTGCAAAGTCGACTGATATTTCATCCCATGCCTAATCTGGGAGTGGTGTCATCTTCAATGGTTCACGATTTGGAGTGCCTATGACTCATGATCGGCATGGTACACACCCTTTCAGGTGTTCTTCCATCATTCTGTCTAAGCCTGGAAACCATACTTTCTCGCGGATTAGTTGTTTCGTTTTTACATCACCTTGGTGAGAGTCATGTGCGAGAGTGATCACTTGATGGTGTAGGCTACTAGGAATAACCAGTTGGCGCATTATGACCCCATCGTAAACTGAAAGTTCATCTTTAATATTTGAAAATGAAGAAAGCGACTTGCCTTTCCAGTTTCCAGACTGGATTGCAGTCATCACTCCCTTCAGCTGAAGGTCATTCTTTGTGGCGACTTTGACTTCGTCAAGAGTAAGAGCGTTTGGAACTGATGCCCTCTTCACATAACTGAAGTAGTTTTCACCTTTGTTGTTTCTAGTAGGTTCAGTGATGGGGTGACGGATAAGATAATCTGCTGGATTGAGCTCATCTTTCCCAGGACTGTATCTGAGGTTGAACTCGTATGGCATCAGCCAAAGACGCCATCTCCCAAAGCGTGCTGAACATGGTTTGTTGCTGTTGATAAATGCCAAGTAACGGCTTATGGTCAGTTGTAACAATGAACTTAGACCCGTATAAGTACATGTGGAACTTCTCCACTCCAAACACGACCACTAGCATCTCTCTTTCAGTTCGGGGATATCTCGTTTCCACTGGTGTAAGTAAGTCCTCGACCTCCGTAGCTAATGACATGCCCCCCCCCTCTCCCTGAGTTAAGATTGCACTGGTGACTGAGTCCACATAGGGATGCATCGACTATGATCTCAGTAGATTTGACTGGGTCAAAGACAGTCAAAGTAGGTCATGACTCCTGCGTTTATAAGAGCTGATTTGAGCTGATCAAAAGCATCCTGTTGAGGTTTTCCCCAAATCCAAGACTGAGTCTTCTTTGTCAACATGCGTAAAGGCTCTATGATAGTCGCATACCCTCTGATAAAGCGTGACACATACTGCGTCATGCCTAGAAATTATCTAACTTCTGAGACAGTTGACGGCGGTGCTGCCTCAGATATGGACTTGATCTTGTGCGGCTCGAGGTAGGTCAGCTTTTGGACTCTGAACAGACATTTGTCCTTGTTCAATTTGACTCCTTTGTCTTGTAGTCAGTCTAGTGTAGCTTGTACATCCCTGTCAAGCTCATTTCTGGTCCTGCCGAAGACTATGACATCATCAATGTAGTTTGTGACACCCTGAATATCATGGAGTATCTGACTAAGGTGATGCTGGAACAGTTCTGGAGCTGCATTTATACCGAACATAAGTCTTTTGTATCTTCTCAGACCAACATGAGTAGCGAAAGTGGTGATGTGACGACTTTCTTCTGCGAGTTCCATCTGATGGAATGCTTGCTGTCATGTAAGTCCGAACGACTAAAGAATTTGGAGCCATTTAATTCGTTTGTCACCTCCTCGAGTGTGGGCATTGGGTGTCTCTCTCTCTTTTTATAGCTGTATTTGCACGTCTCATGTCTACGCAGAGACGAACTCCGCCAGTTTTCTTTGGGACAACCACTATAGGACTGACCCATAAGGTAGGATCCTCTATCTTTTCAATGATTGATGATGTCTTGTTTTTCTAGGCGTTGCATTTCCGCTTCAACATCCTTCCTTACATGGTATGGTATTCTTCTGTATTTTTGGGCGACTGGTTGAACTTCTTGATCAATATGGAGTTTTATCATGAGACCTTCAATTCTGTCGAATCCCTGAAAAAGAGCTTCCGAGGTAGTTACATTGTTCAGGAAGGAAATTATTCCTAGTTTCTCAGAGGTTGTTGCAGGGAGTAAGTTGCATGCTTTTTCGGGTGTCTTGGCGACATAGAAACTTCCCTTGATCTTCTTCCCCTTGCATTGGATGTTTTCTGTGAAACGTCCAAGGACATCCAGCTTTTCACTGTTTGAGTATCCATAAATAGTAATAGGATCAGGCCTCAAAATAGGTTTCTCCTTCATCAGATCATACGTTGTCTTTGTTATTATATTATTTACAGATGCTCCTGTATCCTCAATAAATGTCAGCTTGCTTGAACACATATTTACCGTCACTGTAGGTACGTTTTTCTTGAGATTTATCTGAAACACTCATATTGTGCTGTCAGAATCTGATTCATCTTCATGGTGAATTTGTTTCACTGCTGTTTTGTGGTTTTGCGATATCCCTGAAACCATCTCCTTTGCCTTACTAATTAGGAAACCTGGCAACTGGTATATAACCACTGGCAACTGGTAACCAAGCCGCGTAAGTGGTTACGTAATTGTTGTCTTAGATACAATCGTCATGGAATTTAGGGAAGAGAATCTTCAGTAATAAAGCGTACGTCCACCGGTACAGTCGTACCTGGCTCCTGCTGCTTTCAATGTCTGTCTAGATCTAGATGTTGTGATTGTGAGGTCCCGACAGTACAGTGTCTACTTTTTCTAACGTTAGAGAACTTATTCAAGCTGTCTACGTTGTCTAATGTGCAGTGCTTCCAATTTTCCGCCAATTTTTAGTTTCCTTCAGACCATATCCACCGCCTCATTGATACCCCCCCCCCCCCTCCCCCATGTTTCCGACTTTCTCACTTTTTTCGTTGTATAAAAACTACATTTTGATCTATGTTGCGTTGCCTTAATATTAAGCTTAATCTACCCTTCGCTGTTGGTAGTTCTAAAGGCCGAGTTGACAGCGCATATGTGTTTGAAGTCATACGTACAATTAATTGTTTTATGAGCGCGGGAACGAATCCTGGTTCCGGAAGGGGTTTTTTTCTTCTCCTCCCCCCCCCCCCTCGACTGACCAACAGTTTTTTTCTCATAATTATAATTTATTGTTGCTTTGTAGTTTTTTATGTAGTGATGAAGTATGCAAATTCTGGTTTTGTTCCCAAAAGGAGCTTTTACCTACAGAGAATATTTTCCTTTTACCAATTTAGGCCAGGTTAAAGTTCAAGTGGCTTTCTTTTGTCTGTGAGTCTAAGTATATATTTTTTTAAAATTTAAGATCAGAGAGGCCAAATTTTAGCTCTTCAATTGCAAATTTTCTTGTTTCCGGGGGCTTCCTGCGGCCCCCAGACTGCTGCCAATTGTTCCTCCTGCCAGTTATTATTCGCCATGGTGGGGGGTCCGGGGGCAAATTGTAGGTCAGTCGGGATGAGGAGAAGAGAAAAAAAAACCCTTCCGGGACCGGGATTCGATGCCAAGCTTGAAAGCAATGAACATTAGAGAACGTACACAACATGTATACGTTCTCTAACGTTAGAGAATGTTGACACTATCTATTATAAAGGCCTATTACATAATAATATATCTTGATCTGGCTTTTCCGTCGAAGTGTTTTTTAAATGTTACAACTGTCTGAAAATAATAATATAGCCTTCAATTTGTCAGACTTAATCAGAATTTTAATTCCGATCCGGGGTCAAAATCAAATTAGTTATTTGCACTTTTTTACAAATTTATAACAGGGGATATGCGTTTGCAATTTAAGAACCCAGAAAGCCGGTCGATCAAAATTATGCGAGAACTGGACTCTAAACAAAGAGTAAACAGACATGAGACTGGAGAATGCTGAAGTGTGGTATTAAGGAGAATAGGCCGACTCAGAATGTCAGGGACAGAAAGGAAAAAACCCCAGAAAAGTGCTCCAAGCAAATATGGCAGGATCCACATAAAATCAGAACTAAGAAAATTGAGATTCTTAAGAGAAGATAAGAAGAAGAGATAAGATAAGATAATAGGTCTATTTAAGTTCAGAGTGAATATTTTTTTTCTGGGCTGTACAGGACCGTAAACATATATGCAGGTAGGTATATACACTATACACAGAAATTAAATTATTCGACTACTGTAACTTAATTTCATTAAAATTCAATGTGAAAAGAAAAGTTAACAATAATTTATGTAGTACATTAATATTAGATGCGTCATTCGACCTCATGCAAAAATTTTTCACAAGACCTTTAGAGTTATATAGATACATGTATATATTTGAAACAGCAATACACATTGATTTTTGTTTCTGACATAGCCTAGATCTAGTAAAAGAACTAGATATCTAGATCTAGTATTATTCAGATGAAGAAACTTCGTATGTATCTGCTCTATGTAAAAGTAAAGAGGGAAAAAGAGCAGAGTAAGACAAAGAACAACATACACATATATTCTAAACAACTTTACAACGAATGACACAAAGAGAAAAGGCGAGCTGATAAAAAAAGAAAGACAACAGGAAGGAACTGAAGAAGACATTTTCATCGTTTCGGAATTTAGTTTAGGGCGTTTTAGTTCCTCCTCAAAGGGAGGTTACTGTTGTGAAAGAAAACCATAGCGAAGAAAACAATCACAAAGCCTGTCGATTCTAAAACTGTTTTTGTATTGTCTTGAATTTAAATGATTGATTGGGTACAGAGTATAGAGCCACACAGTCTTTGGTCAATTGTAGATCTAGATCTAGAAATCTAGTTTTGGTAAATTTTTACTTTTGCACCCACACATAGATTTTTCTAGATGCATAAACTGCCACAATTTTTGCTGTAGAACACACCCTTGCAAATCAATTTTGAATTGTTTATTTCAAGTAAATATCAACCCAAATTGCCAAAACATCAAATCATTGTGAAATTCAGGGGGCCCCCTGAACCCCCCCAGTTTCTTTTTAGGTCAGGGGGGCCCCTGACCCCCCCCATGTTGTTAAAAACAAGTCAAATATATTTACTACGCCACTGGTCCTAGATCTAGTTCTATTTTCAAACATCAATAACTATTGATTTGCGGCAAAAATGAAGGCCATTTTCGGGAAGGACTTCTGTAAGGAGCGACCACCCCATCAAACACATTCATAAAGAAGAGGCCTAGACCTAACCCTAACCCTAACCCTACCCTTACCCCTACCCCTACCCCAAGCCCTCAATTCTGCTCTGTCTCATAGTGGTCGCTCGTTACGGAAGTCCTCCCCATATTCGTATTCAGCATGCAAAATACTATACTATTAGATCTAGATCTAGAATAAAAGTATTTCAAACGGGTACATGAGACGGGTGTATTAGTAAAAAAATAACCTAGTTTTGGTATATACATGCTTTTACTTTCCCTCCTGTCTCACACATCTAGAATCTAGTTGTCCATTTTCTATACTCTATACAGTTAGTTATAGGAAAGATGATCTAGATATCTAGATCTATCTAAATATTGATGCTCTTAATATCAGCTTCATCATAAAGTGTTTTCGAAACATTTGATATTTTTTAATTGAGCTATATTACACAAGACCTAGAAGGGGGGTTGGGTGGGTTACAGGGGGGCATGCCCCCCTTTTTGGCATTTTTTTACTTTCCCTCCAGTCTCACACTCAGCTACCACCAGTTGTCTATTTTCTACTAAATATTGATGCGCTGAACACGTATCAACTTCATTTCCGTCGCAAATTAATAGTTTTTGAAATATTTGATTGTTTTTAACTAGATGGACATGCTTTGGACCAATCGGGGGGTTCCAGGGGGGCCTGCCCCACTGGGATAAAAGAAAATCTGGGGGGTTACAGGGGTTATCCATAATTTGATATTTTACAGTTAGATTTGAAATTGGGTAAATTTTTATGGCTCCGAGTCCAAATAGATAAAACCCATGGACTCGACTCCGAAAGATAAAAAAATCTAATCGGATTCGAGTCCGAATAGAGCTGGCGAAAATTTCTTTGTGGGTTATATAATCCGTTATTGGGAGAGCATAACGAGCGACCAGTATGAAACGAAGTAGAATACAGTGGAATCCTGTTATAACGAGAGGGAGGGGACCGGTGCGAAATTTCCGTTATAGCAGGATTCTCGTTACAAGGGATCCAGTAATAAGTTCAAGGGAAATAGTAAAGTAGGCCTAATCTATGATTTGGCGTTCTGTTTATTCCTTTTTGTATTTCCCCTGATGATGATTTGTTCAACATGATCTCAAGGTCTTACTTTATAAAAAAATCGAATCAGGTTTCTTTCTCTAGTACTAGCAATGTTGACAAATCGGCCTTGGCGATCAGAAAGAAGGGGCTCTGACTCTAGGCTAACTAGCCCGCAGTGTTGTCCCCCACCCCACCACACACTGTGGCGCGTTGCGTCTGCTCACGCACGTCATACATTCACTCCATCCATCTATCACAGCATTGTGACCTCTCCATCGCGCACCAGAGAAATGAGAGGCACGGTATGCCTAGATAATCTAGACTGGGCTGGCCTATCACGCGATGCGTTCTGCTTGTGTCTGCGCATGCCACACTCTCCCCACTCATTCGCTCCGGCCTTCATTGTTGGTTCGCGTGAGCTCTCCCATTCCTTGTTTCGCTGGATCACCGACAACTTTCTCAACCATCAAGGTTTTATAGGTTTAATTGGTCTGTGCGCTGTGCACAGCAGCAGCAATATTCCGTTATAAACGACTCGCGTGAAGGTCTGATTGCGCAATTATAGCGGCAATAGCAGTATTTTATTTACAAAGATAAAGAAGGAAAAAAACCCGGGGTTTTAGAACAGTGTCTTTATAACAGACTTCTCATTGTTTCAGGACTCGTTATAAGTGGACTCCACTGTAGAGGGTAAGGGGTTTGGGGTAAGGAAGTGGCTATTCTCACCAGGGCCAGGGGTGAGAATAGCCTGTGTCTTGTTATTCTCACCC